AAAAGGGGTCCCTATGTCCTCCATCAGTCTAAGCCTATAGCAGCATGCTAGAGGTGATGTTGACATGAAGCTCCTTAATGACGGGGTGACTATTAAAGGACCAACCAGCAGACACCGTCTTTCTGTCCTCTATATATTCAGTATTAGCCTCCTGAACCTAGAGGAGGACTCCTCCGTCCGTCCCGCTCTGTGTGTGAAAGCTTTTCACTGTCCGGATCAGAACCTGTGTGTCTGTCCTCAGTGCCCTTCAAGCTCCAGGAGGGGGAGGTCCGCATCATCTCCAAGTCTCAGTGCCAGTCCTACTTCGACATGAAGACTATAACTCCCAGGATGCTTTGCGCCGGCTATGAGGCGGGAACGGTGGACTCCTGTATGGTACGTTCTGCCGTGGTTCTGTTGGGTTTAGGCTGTACTGTGTTCTTACGTTCGCTCTGAACCGTGCCGCAGGGCGACAGCGGCGGCCCGCTGGTGTGCGAGGAGCCGGACGGCCTCCACTGGACCTTGTTCGGCCTGACCTCCTGGGGCAGCGTCTGCTTCAGCAAAGTTCTGGGTCCTGGAGTCTACAGCAATGTGACCCACTTCACCCCCTGGATCCAGCAGCAGATCTACATCCACACCTACCTGACCGACTGACAGCGGGCGGCGGGTCGCTCCAGGGGGAAGTGATGTCACTGTCGGTACCAACGCAACCCCGGTTCCTGTGATAAAACTGTAGAGATCCATGTGGCGGTACCGGCTGTGAGCAAGCACTCCTTTATCACCCAACAGGTGCATGGGGCCCCATCAGGGGGCCTCTATAAGGGCCCAGCGGGCCCTCCCAGTACAAACAGAACCAATTAGGTTTGTCTCAGTTCAAACGGGGCCAAACATCTAGAACCGCAGGGCCATAATGCTCCCCGGGGCCCCTCTTCAGCCCAATTTTCTGACCTTATGGGCCCCAGAAGTAAATGTTTGCTGGAAGTAGAGAAAAACTGAATGTCTTCTGTTCTCCAGGTTCAGAGGGATTTTCTAAACTCTGAATAGAAGCTAATATGAATTATGACCTTATTAATAAATCGTTTTTATTTGTTCAAGTCTTAGAACAGCTGATCCTGAACCTTTGAGATCAGCTCACTGCTTCATAAATAATATAAATCCATCAAAACCCAAATCGCTCTGCAGATTAGAACATTCTTCCAGTTGATGTCGTCCGAACTCTAATCCTCGCTGGTTTTCCTTAAATATAAGCAGGTTATTTTTCTCCTTCAGCCTGTTAGTCTCTAGAAAAAGGAAACATCAGATGGGTTTAACTCCAACAGGAACATTATTCTTTTATTAGCAGCTTTATTTCTGTGGAATCTAAATCCGTTTCCACAGAAACATCCAGGGTCATCTTAAAATATCCCTGAAACAACAAACAACTTCCTGTCTCTCCCTGATGCGTTCCTGTAGTTTTCCATGGGAGCCTCTGTTCACCATCAGCTATATTTAATAACATCGTTTACTGTTTTTAAAGACATGATGAGGTTTTAATCTCATTTAAACCTTGCTAAACATCTGAGGACTCAACGTCCCACAATGCTTCACTCTTTAGTGCCTGAGTTAAAGTAAAAACAAACTGAAAACAACGATGTAACGCAGCGGTATTTTCAGAAGAAGACGTTTCTGTTTGAGACACAAAAACAGGCCAGATATGAAACCAAACCGTCTTTAATCCTGTTGATTAAAAACCCAAATAGTGGGGAGTGTTGGCCTAGTGGTTAGAGCCGTGCATTTGTGCTCAGAGAAGGTTGCAGTAACCGGATCGATCCCCACAGGCTGCACTCTGGCTCCCTGAGCAAGACCCTTAATCCCACACTGCTTCCCCGTGCCGCACTATGGCAGCCCACTGCTCCTAAAGGGGATGGGTTAAATGCAGAGAGTGAATTTCCTCATTGGGAGACGATAAAGGGATTTACATGAACAAACTACTGCATTTTAATAATTCCACTTTATTTATCTCATATTGGAGAAATTTACCTCTGCATTTTAACCCATCCCCTTGGGGAGCAGTGGGCTGCCATTGTGGGGCGCCTGGGGAGCAGTGTGGGGTTAAGTGGCAGTCTGTGGGATTGGGGCTTAAAATTAGAACCTCAGAAATCCAAGCTCTATGCCCTAACCACTAGTCCACTGCTCCACGGCTATAGGACTATAGAGCGCACCTCACTATAAGCCACACCCACTACATTTTTGGATAGAACTAGAAACATACAAATATGTCACACCACGCTATAAGCCGCTGATATCTACTGAATTGTCTCCCAGCAAGCCTGTAGGGGGAGCTCTACATATAGCCCCTGGAGTAGGGAAGAAGATGATGCTAGCTCTCATTAGCTGGTTAGCTTGCAGCAGTGTCACTGTCACCACCCGATCCGTCCCGGAAGCACGATCTGTCCTGCTCATGCGCATTCAGATATCCATTCGGGTCGTCCTCAATGTTATTTAGTTAAAAAGACCTAAATGATGTTTTCCCTCCCCCAAAAATAGTAAAGGTACTTAAATATAATGTGTTAAAGGTTAATAATAAAGGTTAATTTCCTGAGTGTCAGGTCTAATCACCTAAAACATCATACATAAATACGTACAGGGAAACAAAAAGACACAGAGACAATTAGTTTAGTTTTACTCGCGAAGGAGAGCAGGAAGAGGCTGCAGAGTTTACAAATCTCCACCCCACTCTGCCCATCTTCAGCTTTCTCCTCGCTATTTATTAAAGTCAGGGGATGTCCCTAATTACACAAGCTGAGGTTGCACTAAGGGAAAGGGAAATAAAATGATCTTCCTTTGAACCTCAGCACATATGTTAAAACAAAGCATGTGGTTGTTTTACAATTAAACTCATTCCAAGAACACATGTTCAGGCCTCTTTCACAACCTGTTGCATGACCTTTATCTGGAACGATCTTTAGCAAGAGCTAATAAGCGATAAATCACACATTATACATCATAATATTTCATTAGTACACAACTCATGAAACACAAATGGAGTATAAATAAAATATTTCTAACACTCAGAAAATAAATGCCTTAAAATCCTTTCTGTTTTATCACTCGTCTCTGTCCGATCTGCAACGGAAAAAATGGGACTTTGGATTTAAACATAAATCTAGTCTTTTTGACTTTTATGTTTTCGTTTCGTTTTAACATAATGCTAAATGGAGCATAATCTAAAGAAAGAAACAACTAAAATGCAGATAAACACGGTTTAATCAGATTTAGCTCTTAGCATGTCCCATGATGACATCAGAGAAGCAGTTTAACCCAGAAAATGTAAAAAGCATCACAATTGTCTCACAAAAGTCATAAAACATTTTTTAAAGGTGTTAGCATTCTTAGCGGAGTTAAGGATAGAAATACGTAGTTTTAGTACCATAAATACATTATTTATAGACACCCAGATGTATATCTGTTCGCTCATGTGCAAGACAGATTGTGCTACCGTGACGGATCGGGTAGTGACTGTCACTACCCGATCCGTCCCGAAATCACGATCCCTCCTGCCCATGCGCGAGCAGAATAATAAGATGACGAAAACTACGCAGAAACGGTACTGAAAATACTTATTGATATGCTTAGAACATTAAAGAATGCTAAGCTATATTCGTATAGAACATATTGAAGACTTTTCTGGAAGAAGTGGATACGTTTTACATTCTCTCCATTGTATTACATGACGTCATCATGGGACATGCTCGGAGCAGTCACAGTAACGTTCTAAAGGCTATTTTGGTGGGGTTTTTTTTTATGTTTTGCTTTTTTGGTTTTTAGAATATTCAATATTTATGAAAATAAATAAATATTCAAAAGGAATCCCCCGCCGGAAAAGGACAAAAGAATAAAAAAGTAAGAAAAACTGCATGTGGAGGACGGATCGTGCTTCGGGGACGGATCCGGTAGTGACAACCAACTGAAGAAAGGGGCTTTATCAGCTCCTGACCACAGTCTCTTCATTGGTCCGACATCTTTAGTGCAGCAAATAAATGTCAAAATGTGTGAATTTGGGACATTTGTTCCCTGTCGCGCCTGCTGCTAGCATCTTATTGCTAAATTAAAATTAGCCCCTTAGTCTTTCATTTCCAGCTTTGACTTTCCTCTCTGGTTGTTCTAAAAAATCCACAGAAAAGCTGCAGCTACTTATAAGCCGCGTGGTTCAAAGCGTGGGAAAAACGTAGGGACTTATAGTCCGGAAAATACGGTAAACATAAGATCATCACATAAACACAATGATCGACAAAATCCTATTAAATTGATTTTTTTATTCAGCATGTTTATGTTTTATCACATAATTAAGAGCAAAAATACATTTAATCAGCTTATCTGTAACAGTAGGACTTTGTACATATATGGAACAAAATGTAAACAAATGTTAACAGGAAATCTCAACTTATCATCTAAATTATATTTTTCTGTATTTCACTTAAAAACATATTTTATTGATCGATCCTACAGACCTACTAACATGAACAAAGCATTGTCAGCATAATGTGAAGCACAAATGTAGCACACTAGCTCTGTTAGCTTTAGCCGTGTTGTTGTAGTTCGTCTAGGAGCAGCGTTGCGTTTTAGCTAAAGTTTAAAGTGTCGGCTAACAGACGTGGATTAAAAACCAACTAACAAATCATGTTTCATGACGTCCATCTTTAAATTAATCCGCCAACAAGAGGAGTAACTGTTAGCATGTAATGCTAGCTAGCTTCCAGCTAATTATTTGATTTTTTACAAGAAATAATCATCTTTAAATGTTGCTTTAGAAACTTTTTGTCATTTCATAAACCCCTTGAAGGTATAATAACTAAAAACAGCACAATTTAATGTCTTTGTGGCACAATTAACCCTAAATAAGGATATTAATGCGGTTAGCTAGCTGCTACATATTTTATGCTGCTGCTAAAATGATAGTTCTAGTTTTAGATTTGAGGGTTTAGGCTGTAGTTCATTAACACTACATGCTTTTGTGGTGAATATTGTGGAGTGAAAGAGCTGATCTCTTGAACCTGAACAGTTTGGAGATCAAATTTATAATCAAAGAGCTGAACGTCATTGATCTGCTGCTAAACCGTTCCAGTTTTCTCTGTTTTCCCTCCTCTGGTGCATAGATTCCTAAAGAACCAGTGTTCTCTTGAAGCCCTGCTCCCGTTTGGTTTCCTGACTTTGCTAACAGCTGAGTGTTTGATGTTCCTATCGTCGCTGAGGTCTCCAGAACATTCCACCAATCTGCTGCTGCTGTTTGGGTTTCTAAGAGTATTTTTCTACAGCTCTTTGTACGTTTTGCTTCTCAGAGGACTATATTTGTTTGTGTGTGAGGACATGCAGTCACGTGTTCAGGTTTCAGCTTAGTTATGACCAATTTGTTGCCATGGTGATCAGCTACTGAACGATCCTGTGGACTGAAATGCTTTCTGGATTCTAGCCTCTGTTATTTTGCGTAATCTGTGAATATTTTGTATGTATTTTCTGTTGTATGACACCAATAAAGCTGCCCGCACCTCACATTGAGTGGGTCTGACTCAGTGTCTACACATTCAAACTGTTTCCACTTCCTCTTCTACAAATAAAGGGAACCTTAAGGTCAGGCTGAGAGATCGTTTCCTCTAACTTCAGAAATACAGACCAACCAACGCTTGCTTTACTAAGGGTCCTTTAATACAGCAGTAAAGTACTTTTAGGATTCCTGTAGGCATGTGGAGCACAATTTTCCTTTCATTTTCCTTGTATTTTGCTCTGTGCAGCTCTGCGTTAAACCAAGGAGCCAGTTTTCTATTTTTAAAGTTTTTCTTTATCAAAGGGGCTGCACTGTCTAAGCAGAGAACTAGCAACCCCATCAACAAAATCATCAACCTGTGAAGGGGAATAAACTAAACAGATTCTTTAAAATTTATAAATGCACTGATAATTATCTGCTAAAGTGGAACCTTCTTTTGGGGGAGGAGAACTCTGTTAAAGTAATCCTGAAGGTTATTAGAAAGTGGTCAGAGAGGACAGGGTTGTGAGGAAATACTGTTATTTCTTCACATTCTATGCCGTATGTCAGCACAAGATCCAAAGTATGAAGATGAGAATGTGTGGGACTATTCACATTTTGAACAAAGCCAAAAGTGTCTAAGATAGCATTAAAGGCTGCCAAATCAGAAGTTCAGAGTAAGGACCTGGTGGACGATACAAAGTTACAAAAAGAAGAGGTTTTCTTGCTCTGCAATTTGGATCAGGGAAATTAAGGGTTAAATGTTCAAAAGAGTTGTAATTATTAACTACATTTGGAGTAATCAGTAAGTCAGACTGGAAGATTGTTGCTACTCCTCCTCTCGCCCAGAACTTCTGGGTATCATTCATGAAAGTAGGGCTGCAGCTGATGATTGCTTTGCAAATTGATTAATCTGTCGATTTTTTCGATTAATAGATTAATAATCAGGTAGTCAGCAAGACTTTTTATGAAATTAAACCAGGTGAAACTCAAACTTTTCAACTTGAGGGGTTCTAGATGGAGCAGATTGACAGAAAATTATATTTTTAATCTTAAATGCAAAATGTTTATATATTTTTTTTTACAATCTTGGTATAATTCCTGCTCTAAGTGGGTCACTCTGTCAGCTAAAGGCAGGTTTTACAATCCATATACTCCAGTTAATGATTCATTGTTTACCAAATGAGTTGATTAGTGAAATAATCCATGGATCTGTCTAATAATATCGGATCTTTCTGGATCCTCTGTCAGTTCAGGACCTTCTCATCTGTTCCTCAGTGTTTTATCTGAGGTC